GTTTGAGCTCACGCGTGTGTGTGTGTGTTTGTGTGCGTGTTGTTTATTGACATGCCCATACTGTTATGGTGAACTTGTTTGGATTTCATGGTTCGCGGCGTTTTCTGTCATCAAGGTGTGTACAGAGAGTAGATGTGTATCTTATAAATTTTCTATACCATCTCTTGTTTGTAGGAATGTCCAGAATACCGACTTATTCGCCTGAGGATATCGAGCATATACGTGAAGCCTGTAAACTTGGTCGTTTAGTTTTGAATCGTGGTCTTGAACTTTGCAAGGTATGTGGGTTATCTTTCTATAACTTGGATGCTAAATTTACGGTCGGGAGCGGCATATTCTTTCTTTCTGAGATTTTGTTAACTGTCACCGCACATCAATAGAGTACTCACAATCGCCTTCACATACCTCGCTGTGGCTCGTGCACACTGTTTGCATGCGGTGTTTAAAATACCTAGAAAGCATATCATTTGTAGACTATTTTCGTGGCATTTGTTTGTGTGTGAGAAATCGGTTGTTGAATGCGAAGCTCCACATGAATAGCATACACAATTGATTTCTAGGCGAAGCACTATTAATTACTGCGTGTTCGCTTTGTTATATTAACGAATACAGGCAGGCACAACTACCGATGAGATTGATCGGAAACTGCACAACTTGGTTATTCAACACAATGCATATCCGTCGCCCCTCAATTACATGGGCTTTCAAAAGTCCATATGTACATCAATTAATAACATCCAGGTATGCAATTACGCCTTGCAATATTTTTTTCCCGAAACAAAATGTGGTATATGATGGAAAGCATTTGCAAGTCCGGCATATATATATATATACCCATTTACCTATATTATGGGGGTTTAAATCAATAATTTAAAAATTGACAAAAGCGGGTTGTACTTGTGCAAGCTTTTACCTGTGGAGGCTGAGCAACAATACCCAACTCGGAAGAGATAAGGAACGGGCGATAACCGCCTGGACATAGACACGGATGCATATATGTTCTTCACTACAAAGGATGTTCTATATTTATTGACAATTCGCAGTTAAGTTGCTTTGTGAACTTGTCATTTGGAGAAAGGGGCGCCTCCTACATATCGGACGGGTGGATGCAAGTCTCGTGTGTATTGTTGTTTCGTTGAGCGTGGCTAACGTTGGCGGTATCTCAGAGTAGTCTTGTTCATAGTATCCAAGTTTTGGTACATTTTTATTATTATAAATGCACAATACCCCTCTACAATCTTGGCTCCGTGAATATCTTCATATTTGAACATCAAATTAGTATATTTCAATTTGTCGATGATAAGTACATACCTGCTCGTCGTCAGGACAAGTTTGCGTTTTCAAAACGGGTTTTTCTCGCGGAGATAATAGTGCACACACGGAGATTTTGAAGGGATTTTGGTGACTGTCACTTCCTATTGTATGAGCGTAGTTATCGAGAACGCCTAATACGAACAAAACGCCGAATATTGTGAGCACGTGCACATCCTTTTTTGGTTAATTTGTATCATCAATCATGAACCGTAAATACGACGAGTATCATCTGCGTGCACGACACACATTCCCACGAAAGATGCTGTCGCCAAGTCTGAATACGACTGTAAGTAATATGCTTCGCCAAGTGTGAGGCGTATCCGTGTCGTGCCTTTTGTCTCGTCAAGGTGGAGCAGGCACAGAGATATGAATCCCGACTTTACTTTAAAATAACAATATTCGATTGCTGATTTGCTATTTTGCTTTTTCAAGGAATTACAATAATCATTGCGCTAATCATCCGCATCTGCTTCGGTCGCAGAGTCGTTCGTAGAACAGAACATTCTAGTTGTTTGTAGTCTGTGTATGTGTAAAGTCGTACAGTAGTGTATGTACAGAACGAGACGTTTTTATTATCACGAAGCTGATTTAGACGTAGACTGTTTCACATCTGCTGACGATACTTATGACGCACCAATTTGCAGGTGCATGGTGTGCCTGACACCAGAATGCTTGAGAGTGGGGATATTATCAACATTGATATTTCAGTGTATGTCAATGGTTTCCATGGCGATCTGAGCGAGACTGTTTGTGTGGGCAAAGTAAATGATACTGGGCGGAAGCTGGTAGACACGACACGAAATGCACTTGACATGGCTATAGC